CCCGGAAACGAAACACAAACACACAAATACAGCAAGGATAACCACCACATGTCTTTTTTTTCTTGGTCGTAAGAGTTTTACGGCATTTGCAACACAATAAGGTCATATTATATAAGTGCCGAAGACTAGAGGTGTTGCAAGGGTGTAAGAAAAAGCACAAAAAAGGAGGGGGAGATAAAGACGATACAGTAGACGTTCGATAGCAAAGAAGGAGCAAACCATATCAGAGCACCCGCCAACCACCCACAGACGTTTGATAGCAAAGAGGGAGCAAACCACACTAGAGCACCCACAGACCACCACAAACGTCGCACCTGTCTCATGGATAAGAACCGAACCCGGAGCCCCCTGTGACCGCCGGCTCCGCCGCAGGTAGTATGGCCGCCGCTACCCTCCTCCACCACCTCCTGGTTCTCTACGTCCTCCTCTGGCGACGACACCTCCACCACCTCGCCGACACCGACACCGATACCACCACCACCGCAACACCCCTCTCCCCCGTGGTGGCTACTGCGGCGCTTCTTGGGGTTCAAATCCACGTAGAAGTCGCACTGGGACACGAGGCGAGCCACCTCACGGTCGGCCGCGGCTCCATCCCCGACCGCCATCACTCGTCGCTTCTCACGGAAGAGAAGAATACCACGCATGCAACACAGTAGGAAAAACACACTGGCGCCTGAGGTGTGGATCACGTCACCGTGATCACAGAAGTCGAGAGAACGAAGAAAAGTCCCAAAACTTCTAGAATCTAGTCGCGCCCCGCTATCTAGCTCAAAGAAGAACACGAGCAGTAATGTCCAAAAGAGAATGTCGTATCTCGCAATCTGGCTCAAAGACAGAACACGAAAACTTTGAATTCCCGATTTCCAGTACAAGAATTAGATCTAGACTAATAGTCAATGTCCTTCTGTGCACAGAACTGGTCTACTTTGTCGTAAACTTCGTCAACCAACAACATACTATGAAAGTCTTGACTTCAGAAAAGGTAGCATAGATTCAGTCTCTAGATATATAGATCTAGAATCTACTTCAACTTCAATGATTGAGAAGTCATAAAAAGCAAACAAACTCTCTAAGTAGCATTCGTGGTTGTCAAAATAAACACAATTTCTCGCAAGTCAAGCAACCAATAACTACCGTCAAACACCACACAAAGTTAATATCATCACTTCCTCAGTATATATTCTCCACAAATGCTAATGATAATAATGACACAACATCTGCTAAAAGGAAAACAACAAAACGAGTTGGTTGATTTACTCGCTAAGTTCGCGCGCGGCACAAAATCAACACTGAGACTGTGAGAGAGTGAGCAGTGAACAAAATCCTCTATTCCAAACCGCAGAGTTGTAACGTTAAGCTCAGCATCTCGCCACACACACGTCTGCTTCTCAGCGCGTCTGCCCGCACAATGGCCAGTGAGATCGTTACTGCCGTACACTCGGTCCCAAAACGCCAGCAGTTGCGAGGGACGCCGCCCGCTGCTAGGCCTATGATGGCGGCGGTGATGATGATGATGATCACGTCACGAGCCCGCTCGCGCTCGAGGGGTGGAGATGGGGAGTAGTGAGACAAACGGAGACAATCCTAGTTCCTAGCTCTCTCTCTGTCTCTCTCTCTCTCTGTCTGTCTCTCTCTTTCTCTCTTCTCTCTCTCTCTCTCTTTTTGTCTCCAGTTCTGTCTGCATTTTTTCTAACCCCCCCCCTCC